CGGAGGCTGATGAAAGAATATGGACCCGAACGAATGATAATACTTGGACTAGACTTTACAGTCCTCCAAAGGAAGATCTATATATTTTACTTTGATGACAATATTGCGGCGGTGAAAGCCAGCCTTTGGAGTGCTCAACTTGGTGCGCCAGAGATAAACAATTGAGCTCGATATGGAGCTCGCTATAGTTAAACTTTAGAGGTTCGTTGATTAGCCAGCCAATCAGAGCGTGCCACGTGGCTGATTTACTCTAAAGTTGAACTATAGCGAGCTCCATATCGAGCTCGATTGTTTATCTTTGGTGCACCAAATCGAGCACTCCAAAGGCTGGCATTCACTGCCGCAATATTGTGATCAAAATAAAATATATAGCTCTTCCTTTGGAGGGCTGTAAAGTCTAGTCCAAATATCATTATTCGTTCGGGTCCATATTCCTTCATCAGCCTCCGACATGGGAAGCTCTGAAGCAAAATCCAAAGCAAAACTATAGATTACACATCAAACTACGCTAAATATGGTATTTAGATGACTGCATTTTTCCCTCTATGTATAAAATATAGATTTCGCAATAGAAATGCCTTTAGCGTGCTCTAAATAGTGGTTCCCCCGCCGTGTTTGTTGACGGCAGCGCCAAACGATGCGCGTGACGTCATATGCTAGCGTCCCGTTCTCTGACTCTCGGCTAATTCCGTCTTGCTCTTACCTCTCGACCAACTCTCGCCTCTACTATCGAAAGCTTCGATGTTCTCAGTTCTCAGCAGGCTTGCTAGCGTGTTCTACTACATAGGTGGCTACTAGAGCTCTCGGCGGATACTACTCATGAACCTCTTCAGTATCATAGAAGATCAGTGCACGGCACCTGAACTAAAGTTTGGTCGGTGCAGGTCGAATGCATTGCCTTTCATAGCGCAGACACTCGAGATCAGGATATACGAGACCTGCAGCATGATAAGGCATGTCACCAAGTACATCGAGAATTACTTTTACTATTTTGAGAGAGTCCTGGGAGCGCCATGACACGCTGTTCGGGGCATGCCTTGGTAAGTTTATCGAAACCGAATATCACTTGAACGTCCAATCATGAAGAGCCTTTTTTTGCTTCGTTAATCTGCACCGTTCTCTCAGCTTCATGATGCTCAATATTCTCGTCATTTGCGCTATAGCCTGCATCTATGATCGCGCGAATGCCCCGCCCCAGCCTCCCCCGAGTGCAACCGAGCATAAGCGAACAGGAACAGATGCCAAGAGCATATCCGGTCTGTACGAGATGAGCATTTTGCATGTAGCTGTGTGGACTAGGGTGAGTACCCATCACCGTAGTATTTCTCTGCTGTTCATGACATGTAGTCAATTGTGGCCATACAGGTGTCGTACTGGATGTTAGCGGCACGCGAAATTGTCACCCTCGTCGCTTTACACCTCGCACACTCAAAATTCGACCCGAACGGAATACCGATGCAGGATATTGGCGTGATCACACCCACCTTCGTCGTCGGAACCTGCCTCGTCCTCATAGGAGCCTCCATTCGCTTCGTTTGCTTCCACAAGCTGGGCGTCCACTACGCATTCAAACTCTCTCTACGCTCGGACCACAAACTCGTCCGCACATGGCCCTACTCCATAGTACGCCACCCCGCATACGCTGGTGGCCAGATGCTCCTCCTCGGTGGACTGTTGACGTTGATGGGGAGTGGGTCATGGTGGTACAGCGGAGCGGGATATACGACGAAGATGGGAACGGTGCTAGGCGGGAGTTATGCTATGTCGGTGATGGTTCTGGGATATGCGTCGGTGCGAGGGGCGAAGGAGGACGTGTATTTGAAGAGCGAGTTCGGGGAGGAATGGGACCGGTGGGCGAGAGACGTTCCGTATAGGTATATTCCTTTTGTCGTTTAAATTCTTGAGTTCGTGTGTGGCCGCTACTCCGTGTGGTATGTTCACTCTCTCCGGAAATTCGATTCAGGCGCATTCAGTATTCCAGCTGTTTTCAGAATTGTAGTCGCATCTATGTAGGATTTTCGTTGATGGAGCTTGGCCCCACTCGGAGCCTCACCCGGTGCTTCCGATAGGCTCGCCATAGGCTGGGCCAGAGCACTCTTGTATGCCTTAGCAAGCCCTTAGAGTGTAAGTCCCGATAAATATGTCTCAATGCCTGTGTTGCTATTATGAGGGCAGGTGTGGCCCTTCGTAGGAACGTAAGCATCGGCGCTTGCGTCCTGAAACGGTAGCTGGTTGCGTCAGAAGCTCCGACCGCTCCATCGAACAAAAAAGCGGGCGCGACTACGATTCTGAAAACAGCTGTCATAGAATGCACCATCACTCCTGCTTTAGGAGGGATATGCTGTCATTGCGTTGTTCGGGTCTTAGCCGAATCATTAATTCATCACTGTAATAGATCCCCCCTAGTCAACGGTAAAGAATGCTCTTATAACGAAGGCGTTCACCGTTTGACGTTCGGAACCCTACCGCCAGCAATAATGTTACTCAAAGTCTTCCTCATCTTTGTAACAGCGTTGATCTACAATCATACATATACCCCACCACAGTCTCCTCCGACTGCAAGCGAGCACAAACGAACGGGGACGAATGTCCGGAGTCTCTATGGTTTTTACGAAATGGCCATCGTGCACGTCACTACCTGGACCAGAGTGAGTCCTTCGTCATACGCACATCGACGGCACTCTGTTATTTCTTCGAAATAAGTACTCAAGCAATGCGCTGCACGCACAGATATCGTACTGGATGTTAGCTGCATCCGAAGCCATTGCCATCGCATCTTGCTATACGGATCCAGGCATGAAAACGACACGCCCGTCACCCTCATCCTTGGAAGACATCGCCACGATCACGCCTACATTCATCCTCGGTATGGCTCTCATCCTAGCTGGAGCCTCCATCCGCTTCCTATGCTTCCGTGAGATGGGCGTCCACTTCACGTTCCAGATCTCTCTCCGGGAGAAACACAAGCTTGTGCGAACGGGCCCCTACTCCATCGTTCGTCACCCAGCATACACGGGAGGCCATATGACTATATTAGGTGGACTGTTGACGTTGACGGGTCATGGGTCGTGGCTCTACTGTGGGGCGGGATATTCGGAGAAGATAGGGAGGGTGTTGTGTGGTAATTATTGTGCGTCTGTGATGGTTTTGGCATATGCGCTTCTAAGGGGGGCGAAGGAGGACGTGTATTTGAGGAGAGAGTTTGAGGAGGAGTGGGAGGAGTGGGCTAGAGATGTCCCGTATATGTATATTCCGTTTGTGGTTTAGATCATGGAAGTCGAGTCAGTAGATGTGGTTCGCTGTTTCGGGTATACGTTCTTCTTCTTCTTCATTCTCAATTGATTTTTAGTGCGTTGAGAGCGACGACAGAAATGTAAATGTACATAGAGAGTTACTTTACTTGTCTAATGACGATCGTGACGAGGCTTTAGGTCTCCAGATGGACAACATTTCTCCGTTTCATCAATGATATAAGTGATTGTCGCGAAAGGGCCCCACTATCTGTCGCTCTTCCGTGGTCCCCTTCCTGGCCCTTTTTTTCATATTCAATGTTGTACGCATTCGTTTCTCGACAAGAAGGCTCAGATCATATTTAGGACAAACTTCACAAACTTCTCTTCGACACTCCTGATGGCACGCCACCAACAGCATCAATTATCTATAGATTCGGTCTTCGGCCAAGCTCCACCTAACGATGGAAGGAACGTGAAGGAATTTGCTCCCGAGGGCCACCGTAAGCGGAGTGTGATGCTCAGTGGTAGACATTGTCATTATGAGTGTGGAACGCGAGGGGCGATGGAATATCAGCTGAGAGTGCGAAATCGTTTACTATTTCCGTCGTCCCATAAAAATCAAAACCCATCTGAGGAACGTACTCTATGAGATCAAGGGTTCATTCACGTACCGTTATGGACACAGTCTCACTTTACAAAGGGTGAACCTCAAAACAAACCCTACTACAACAGCCTTCGCGTGTGAGAGCACACAGGCATACGGGGACCCAATGTCAGTGCACATACAGATTTCGCATGTCCGTGGCAGAAACGGACGTACTTGTGGTAGCGTGTATGGTCCAAACATTTTTTCCTACACCCATATATCCTAAATAGGAACAGAAGGAGACATCACGACCGTGCATTTTTCGCAAAAATAGATCGAAGGTAATATTGACGGAGATTCGGATGATTTCCCTTTCGAGCCAGTATGTCCTCTCTTCCATCTCCGTGCTCTTTCGTCAACCCCCTAACTTGTGATTGACAGTCCTACCCCTTTCGTCTCCGCGCATGCTCTATGGAAAGCCGACTGATACTCTCTGGGAACGAGTGTGTGAGGCCATTTTTCAGAGATCCTTGTGCTCCACACTGGATTGGCTCCGCATTAATTCTCGTATCTTCGACTGTCGCCGCCCCGTGGTGCTGTCTCTTCCGGGTAGTGATGTCTACATCCACACTGTATCCCATCCTCGGAATTCGTTCTACATGCATGCCCGTACATCAAGACATGAGTTCTATCGGCAAATTGCAGGGCTCGGCAGTGACGTTGGCACACCAATACACATCGTCTTCATCTCCTCGGATAATGACGCCATGTAGCGTATGATATGCCCCATGAGATCCAGTTCCCACTTCAAAGGTACGTGGAGTCTCACTCAGAGTTGAAACCACCCTATTTTAAGCCAATATTTCGCAGGTGTTCGTCATGCCATCTGACCTCTTTGCAGTATACTACCGTGTTTGGTACCCGTTGAAGCCGACTGTTTTTAATGGCCAGCCTGCTAGATGATCAGAGGCTGACCTCGTATCCAACAGTCTAGCTACACTCTCGATCTTCGTCCTCAACGAGAACGATGGAGTCACGATCGACTGTTTTATTCTTCATCCTATCCATCTGCATTCTTCTATATGTGCGGGCTCTCCTTCGCCGAAGGCAAAACTTCTCCGGACTTCCCTACCATCCAGGACCCAAACCTCGTCTTATCATAGGAAATCTCCTTGATCTACCGACGAAGGAGCCGTACAAGGAGTATAGTAAATGGTCTACATTGTACGGCAGTACGTTTATTCAAAACATATCTCTTCGCATTGTTCTGACTCGCACGAGTGCCTTGCATCTCACTGTAGGTGATGTGGTGTCATTTCACGTGCCTGGCTCACACACTGTCATCGTCAACTCCGCAAAGGCGGCCAAAGCGCTGTTCGAGAAACGATCTGCGATATACTCGGACCGATCATACTTCAAGATGGTATACCTGTTCGTAAATGACTCCCTAGATTTATATCATGACAGATGATTGCTCATGTACGGATACGCTTGGGTAGGATGGGATGGGATTTCAATATCGCTCTAATGGGATACTCCGATTCCGGTAGTTCACAAAGTTACGTGGCGAAGTCGCGTGCGTCTGCCACAAGTCGCGTTCAAGGTACTTGTGGCAGGCCACGCGATTTTGCCACGCTACATGTGTTGAGCCAAGTAACTTGGGCGACAATTGAACATGCCGCACACCCAACGCGCCCGTGCAGGGCACTTGTGAGGCGTGCAGGAGTGGAAACACCCTTTCCTTCATCTCTCTGATCATGAACGGGTTGCTCATCATGGCGGGAGAATTGTGCTGAACAGTACAACATTTCCAAGCGATCTCCGTTGTCTCGGAAGATGCTGAAACACACTTTCGGGGGTTAGACAAAGTCAAACTCATGGTTTTTCCCATGGTGACACATAAATATGACTGCTATTCGGTCTGAACTTGGCCCCTGCCAGTAGAAGGAGTAGTTCAAGGTGGGCAAGGCAATGTTTCTCAATATCCATCGTCGAGGGTGGTCCCTTTACGGAGTCTTCCCGCACGCCACACCAGGACCTTGGTTAAGAGTTTCACGGTCGGACATTTTTCATAGCATCTGGGTGTTGTGTAAACTCCGATTTTATGGTATTCTCTTTCATGATACCTCTGCCATAGACTGCTGAAAAAAACTCCGGGGCTTCATACTTACTTTTAAGCATTCGGTCTCCAGAATACTACGGAGCCTGAGGCACGGACAAGCTTGTGGGAGTCAGTGGCAATGTATGCAATTGAGGCTCTACTATGCTACCCCTTCTCTTCTTTCTTCCTCTCTGAGTCAGTAGGGAGAGCTAAATGTATATAGGTAATACTTCCGATGTCCCAATGTCATGCATGTCATGGCTCTGCTGCACTTGCTCTGCACGCGGAAATTGCACGTAACTTGTGTACACTTTTTTCGACCTTTTCGAACTCGCGTGTACCTTAGACAAAGTACCTTGTGCATTTTTCCGACTTGCAATAAAGCATTTCCGCTGTGACCAAGACATTTCCTTTGTTATGGTAAGGAGCCCGCACATCACACCACTTGTGTTTGCCCAGCTGTGGGCTTTGGGCCACAGTGGCACTGGACTACTTGGTTGTGAGCATCTCAAGATCGAGGCACCCAGCTCAAATGTTTATCGAGTCATTTTAGCAACAAAGTAGTCGTATATTTCCAGACCTACATATCAAATATGTTAGACAATAAATTAAATGGAAGTCTTTGCCCGCTTGCTCCTTCGCTTCCCATCCTCTCCTCCGTTTGAGGTAACATCCTGCACACCCTCATCCACGGCCTTTCCCCGCTTCTTTACTGGACGCGGTTTCGGTCGTCTCCCATCCTGACTCACAGGTATAACAATCTCCACCGTCCCACCAGTCAGCCCTGTAGCTCCTGTAGGTGCCACAGGCCACACATAGGGTGGCCCCTCGCCTGGGTCAATCGTGACAACACGAAAGCTCCGCGGGAGCGCTTGTTTTCCATCGAATTTTATGATCCTCTCGATAGAAGTCGTAGTTCGTCGAATGCGGCCATCATTCCGTATATCGGCGATCGTCTCGCCCTGCATTCCTCCGAAAGCAAGCTCCGCTGGTAACCACTGCCTCCGCAACCTCCCAGCACGCCACAGCCGCCATATCTCGTCGTCGTCTTTTGCGGTGCGATGAAGGTAAGTCCGAACGATGATGAGTTGGAATAAAATGAGGCCGGGTCCATTGAGTACATCCCGTAAGGAATCGCCGTCGAGTCCGATGCGCCTCAAATACACCTGTATGTTCTGAAGAACGTTATTAACCAGACTCGTGTCGCCAGGAAGTGCATCGACAGCATAGTGGGTAATGAACATGGCCGAACGGGTGCGGCGACCCCGGTTCTGTGTCCACTCTGTCCAGAGCTGCATGACTGGATGATCTCGCTCCCTAGTGATGATCTGGGTGACAGAGAGAGCTCCGTCACGCAAGGCAGTCTCGATGGCCGCATTACGATAGCCTCGATCACCGGCATCTTCTTGGAGGCAGATGGGCCACTTGATCTTGCCGTACTAACATTGTTAGGATATTAGACGAGAGACCATGAAATGAAACAGTGATGAGCATAACTACCTTGATGCGATGAGGAGCTTTCCTCACCGCCAGTAGTGCTGCCATACAGCGCTCAACTGGTCTTTGGAATCGCAAAGTCGCGGGTTTCCATATGCCCTTTGGTCCGTAGTCGTTCCCGTCAAACCATTCCAGGTTCGCCATTCGGCCTGACAGCGAGAATATATGTGCAGCATAGAGGGGCCCCTCTGGAAGTGTGGGGAATGGTACGTAGGACCCGACACTGAGCATACTAGGTATCAGTATCCTATGTGACAACATTGCGAACTTTGAAAACCGGCTGACTTACTAACTATCGTCCCATAGTTCAATATTTGGATCACACGCTGGGCAACGCCAATGCTCATCACTCTCGTCGTCAGCATCAAGGCCAAATTGAAGGCGAACGCATGCGGTATGAGAGCGCAAGCCGCAGTGCCAACATTTGATGACTGACTCTGCTGCTTTTGTGGACGGTTCGATGGCCTCGGACTTGCGACAACCAATGCATTGAATAAATAGCGGCATAGTAGGAGAGGGAGGGCGAGATTTTGTAACTGAAGACTCGGATTGACTAGGGTGCAGTGAAGCACTGAGTGATGGAGACGATGGACGGGATGGATCAGGATTGTCAATGGCGTCATCGATGAATTCGGTTACTGCCTTGTCGTCGGGAATGGAATGAGGTGCGGACTGGGTGATAGCTTGGTGCTCGGCGGCTTGGTTGTCGGCAGGTTGACCTTCTGAGTTTGAGTCCGAACCATGGACAATAATTGCAGCATCTGGATCGTTAGGATGCGGAGCAAATGTCGCCTCTATATGTGCTACAGAGCGTATGGATACCTAATGTAGAGAATTTTTGATGTTAGTCATAGCACAGAAGTTGTGATAAAGCCCAAGCAGCCGTGTCACACATACCTTGGTCTCCGACGCTCGACGATAAACAAACATCACGTTCCCGCCGTGAGCAGTTTCCAAAACGCTCAAATCATCCGACACATGAACGTATGCTCCACCCTTATCTATGTCATCGTAAAGGTAGCATGACCCCGAAACATTGAGGTATGCGATCCAGTGACCGGCGCCACCCGGCTGGTGGCGAACACATCCAACAACTTCGTAGTCGATCCTGGTACTATCCTCAGCAACGGAGGGATGCGCAGCGAGAGAGAATCGAGATGAAAGTCTGACAGCACGATCTGCTTCGAGATTACTAGGATTTGCCCTGTTCTGATCGGTAGTGAGGATACGAAGGACGTGTGGCCAGGATGTGCGGATCGCCACAATTGAAGCTGGAAGGGAACACGATGATTGTTGGCAGAGAGTCGGCGGGAGACGATGCAGAATGGTGGTTCCGTTGTGTGAGTTACCGAGGAGGCTCCGAGGAGGCGAGTAGTCGAGATACTGTGCAATAGTGGGATTGACAACATTAAGTCTTGACCTTAACGTATCCGCGTCGTGAACAATGATCGAAATAGTAGGATTTGCTTTGCTAGTTGCAGGTTTTTCGAACGTATGGCCTGCATTACATTGGTACTGGTGGTAGTAGACAACACCAATCGTCTCCTGAGCCGCCAAATCCAGTCCGTCCTGCATCAAAACAAATATAGTCAGCTACTGGCGATAGTGGGTTAAGCAAGTCGTATTGGAGACGAACATGAGTAAGCTTTTGAGGCCATTGGACCGCACTACCATATTTCCCGTAAGCACCAATATCCCACCTGTCGAAGATTAAACTCCGAACAAGATCCTGCCCACGTTCCAATATCTCCGCTCCCTCGCTCTGCTTCTTGTACTTGCGACCTTTCCCTGAAATCCATTCGACCCGCTCATTGAAATGTTGTAGAACACGATGAAGAGGAGGAGCGTCGACAGGAGTGGACGAAATGGAGCCTTTAATCCCAGAAGCAGCTACAAGTGCATGTCGATCTTGATGAGAAAGACCGGAAAAGGCTTGGAATAAAACCTCGAGAGGTGCGTCCCAAAAACAGGAATTTGGAGCAGCCCATTTGTAACCGACAAGATGACGGGAAGGTACTACATTGCCGGAGATTGTTTCAGAAGATTTTGATGTTGCTTTTGGGGTTTCGACTTTTGTAGTAGAAGGCTGAATCGGCACGCCTGGGGACACAACTGATTAAGCACTGTCGGTTACTAGCGCTCTTACACACTATTCAAATAGGACAATTATAACATACCTACGACGGAAGACTTCTTATTGGGTCCCTTTCTTTTTGATGACTGGTTCGGAGGAGCTGTGTATAAATAGAATTGTGAGGATCATAAGATATGAATGAGATTAACAACGCATAGAATCAGCAGTCACCAGTGCGAGAGTGACGACCTATTCAAACTAGAGACTGACCTTTCACCACCGCTTTAGACTTGGCAGCAGACGCAGCGGCAAGAGCATCTTGGGTATCGGGCGCACGGCCGTCGTTTATATTCAGTTTCTTGGCCCTACGAGGGCGCGGGTCGCGTGGTGGCGGAGCCTTGAACACACCGGCTAACATATTGAAACCAACATTTGGATCGTTAGAATTAAGCGCAAATAGATATAGAATATATAGCCAAGGGAGGTTTTACCTTGTATTGCATTATAGCGACTCTCAAGCTCGCGGACATTCAGAACTATTCCCTCTATCCCAGGGATCGCGTCAAAGTCCGTCCCAGCCGAACGATGAAGCAACGAGTGACGGGATTCGACGGGGTTTGAAGTCTTAGGCACCTCCGAACGAACACTACGGTCACCTCGCTGGCATGCAGGAAAGAGCATCGACGAGGGGGCCGGCTTCATCCACCAATCTGACCAGCCTTCAAGATTTGGGAACAGAGTTCGAATCTCTCTCCATGC